TCCCAGCCTTGAGTATCCAGGAGGTGTTGATGAAAAATGGCCCTTAGACTTGAACCTGGCCTCTGAACTTTCCCTTCCAGCTGCCCACCCCCAGCGCTTGTCAAAGAGATCCTGAACAATGTCCAGAGGCTGACTTTCTATGGCTTCCTTGTGGCCCTCTCAAAGCATCATGGAATCAACCAGACGCTGGGTAAGCAGAGCTCATGTGACCTCTGTGCTCCTCCCAACACTGTGGGAGACAGCTGGTCACCATGGAAGACATGGCCCTGCAAGGGTAGGACACTGCCTCTGATTCTCGAGCCTAGGAGCTGCAGTGTGCATAATCCCAAACTGCCAGCCCTAGGAGGTCCCTCACATTCCACGTGACTGACAGTTATGCCCTGCCCCAACAGGAGCGAGCTGTTCTGCTCCCTGGCAAAGGTCTGCCCAGCCCCTCCCTAGAGAATCCCTGGTTCTGCTCTAGGGAGTGGCCTGCAGGTTGGGCAGATGCAGGGCTATTTACCCGGTGGCTCTGGAGATTAAATATCAAAGTGACCTGAATTCAGTTTAGAAATAGGGCAAAACTGTGTCTGGGAGGTGTTTTTTTCCCAGGTGGGAAAAAAGAAATCCGGTAAATCTGAGAAAAGACAAAGGAAAAAAAGTGGAGATTGGCCCAGTTTCCCTGCCTGTGGGCTTTACTCTGACTGGCGGGCCCAGTTTCCCTGCCTGTGGTCTTTACTCTCACTGGCCGGCCTCCACCCACTGCACCCCCCCCCCCATGCACAGCCAGTCCTCTCCCAGGGAGAGACCAGCAAGTCACTCTTGCTGGAGGTTTGTTGGTTTTTGTTATTTAAACAGGGTCTTACTGTACAGCTCTGTGTAGCCTGGACTGTACTAAGTAGACCAGGCCAACCTTGAACCACCCTACTCTGCTCCCCAAGTGCTAGGACTAAAGGTATGCGCCATGAAGGCCAGATCCTGCTGGATTTTAAAGGATTTATGATTCCATCTTAGCTCAGAAGAATCTCCTTGTGTGATTAGATCCAGGTTCCTGAGTCTCAGAGAGACACAAGGCATTCCTCTTCCTTGTGGTAGTTGAGGGGATGGGATTGAGAAGAACAATTAGCGTTTGCTAAACACCCAACACAATGGGCCACAAGCTATGCTGGAACCTTTATGCTTATTTCTGTATATACACACCTGCCAGAGTTCTAGAGGAGACAGGCAAGCTAAGCGTGCATGCTACCTAGAAGTTTAGTTACTGAGTCGGGGGTGGAGGGACCAGTTAGCTGGACTGCAGCTAGAAGAGAGGCCAATTGGAAACCAGATTCAAGAGCCAGTGGCGACTCCTAGGTGTCCCTCACAGTCTTTTCTACCAGTGACAGCTAAGAGGAAAAGAAAAGGCTAGTTAGCAATGATCACAACCTGCACTCATCCCATGCCCTCTCTGCTCTTCAAAAAGAACCTTCAAAGCTGGGTGGTGGTGGCGCACACCTTTAATCCCAGCACTGGTCAGACAGAGGCAGGCAGATCTCTATAAATTCAAGGCCAGCCAGGTAGGTCTATAGAGTGAGTTTCAGGACAGCTAAGGCTACAGAGAGAAACTCTGTCCAAAAAAAAAAAAAAAAAAAAGGTGCTGGGCGGTGGTGGCACTCATCCCAGTACTCGGGAGGCAGATGCAAGTGGATCTCAGAGAGTTCAATGCCAGCCTGGGCTACAGAGTGAGTTTCAGGACAGCCAAGACACAGGAGAAACCCTGTCAAAAACACAAACTAAATAAAAACATTCAGTTCAATCTCCAGTTCTGAGGGATAAAAAGAACCTCACACCATTTGTTTCTAAGTACTAATTCATGACTAAATATATAGAATAGGCAGCAATAGAAGACAGTGTGTCTAAAAATAGGAACTTGGAAATACCCTGCTTGAAACCGTTTGTAGAAGAGATCCCCTTGTCCCCAGAACATCCCACAAAATGAGGCATAACCTGAAGGAGTCAGAAGTGGGCCCAGAGCTGGATCCGAGTCTCCCAGAAGCCCAGCACCGCTGTCCAGCCTGACTCAGCTACTAATGCTCCTCCCTGCGCATTTCAGTCCCACCTTCCTGTTGTCGAGTGGGTGCTGCTATTTTTCCCAGAAAAATAGGAAAAAAATCTGATTATTCTGAAAAAGAACAATAAGAAAACTTAGTGGAAAAACACCCAAGACACGCCATACACTTCCCAATAGCATCACCAGCCTATTCCTTTATGGCCACTTTTGGAAACCAATCCAGACCTCAGGTGGGACTGACTTCCTCATTAGAAGCAGCCATTTTCCACTAGCACATATCCCACATATGCGGATGGGATCAAGAGGACAATTCCATACACTGGCTTTTTTCTACCCTTTGGATTTAGCTTAGGTCATAGTCTTTCCAGCTCAGCACCTGGGGCCTCAAGAACCAAGCTGGTCACAAAGCACATCCAGTCTTGGAAGGAGACCCTTTGAGGCTATTTCCTTAGCTGCCACTTTTTTTTTTTTTTCATTTGTTTTTCAAGACAGTTTCTCTGTGAAAGTCATGTCTGTCCTGGAACTGACCAGGCTGGCCTCAAACAGAGATTTGCCTCCCCAGTCCTGGGATTTAAAAAAGGCATGTGACACCACCGCCTGGCACTTACGTATATGAGTGCTCTATCTGCATGTACTTTATGACGGAAATAAGCACCAGACTTCACTAGAGATACTTGTGAGCCACCATTGGTTGCTGGGCATTGAACTCAATCACCGAGCCATCTCTCCAGCCCCTAAACTGTCACTCTTGCCCCAAGTAAAGGAGGGAAAGTAGTGAGACTCACTAAATTTATAAAGCGGCACCTAAGACTTCCTGTTCCACATGGACTAACTTTCCTAGTCAAAGAGTTGTCAGACATGAATCAAGGGACAGAATTCTGCTTCCTTAGAGGGCCCTTCCATTGTTTTATGACTTCACCCCAAATCCCCGTCTTCTAGGAGCTTTGCCTGACAAAGGAGACTTGATGCATGACCCAGCCATGGATGAGGAGCTGGAACGGCTGTAAGTGTCAACTGGGAAGATGCTGCCCTCTTGTGGAAGCCAAATCAGAGGTGACTGTGCCCCACTGTAGGGCACACAGCACTTATTTTTAACATCCCATCTTGGTCAGGGATAAGGTTTTTGGGGTCTGCTCAAGTGCGACAGTTAAATGTGGAGGTCCTGGTCTCTGAATGGGAGACTCATCACAACACACTCTGGGCTTCTTTCCTTCTTCAGGCTGGTCCAGGTCCCAGGCCTGGTCAACTCCATCACTGCCACTTCTGAGGCCAGCTGCCTGCCTTCCCGCACCCCTCCCCGGGTTGGTTCCCCATGGAAACCCCTCCATCGCTCCCGCAAATTGGATGCAGAGAGCGATGGCTCCACTGAAGAGACAGATGAGTCTGAGACTTGAATCTGAAGGGTCCCATCTGTGGCCTGTACCTTGCTCCACCCTGCTCTTGCTGCCCTCACCAGACTTCTCCAGTACCACTGTGCCGCCCTCTGCTGGAGAGAAGCGCAAATAACAGTCCTGCAGCTACTAGATCAGTGATCCCAGAAATCCCGTAACTCAGCTTTTGACAACCTGTTGGGCCCTGAACTGAATATTGTACCAAGGCCACTTCAACTCTGGGGAGGGCATTGGCTTTCATCTTTTGTTGGCAGTTCTGCTTATGCTTTAAGTACAGTGTCTTTTCAGCCAGCCATGATCCTCCTAGTGAGGGTCATTTTTCACAACTCCCGTAAGAGGAACACAAATTGCTAACACCGGGTTTTCATGGTCAAGGGTGACTCCTGAGAGCATGTGCTGGGAAGACTTATCAACTGTGGCCTTCTGTTGGAGAAATCAGCCACTAGCTGGAGTAAGAGGGAGGATGGGCAAGAATTTCACTTTGAAAATCGGCTTCAAGTTTGTATCAAATAGTCCAATCTGAAATGAATAAAGTCCCTTGTCTCTGGTAAGCAATGAGTCTACAGCCGGCAGGCTACAGGGAGGGCAAGGGCAAGTATGACTTGGGTGCTTTTTCTGACGGGATGGGAGGTGGAGCCAGGGACCATTCCAGCATGGAGACCTGCCTCAGTTGACAGAGGACCTGGCCCTCATGCAGATGAGGGCAGCCTTCAAAGCCCTCAGCAACACCCCAGTGAGTTCTCACTACCTGGGAATCCCTGGTCACAAGCTGCAGAGCCTTTTCACCAGGGTTTCATTACCCTCTCTGGTCAGGGCAGTATTGCAGATATGCACAAAGCAGGTTTGGAGCAGAGGCTGGAAAAGTGAACAGGTGATCTTCATCTCTCTCGAATGAGGTAGATTGTCCACAAAATAAAATTCATGTAGGCTGCCTGCCACAAGTAAGGCCAATGTCATCACTTATGGAGTTAGAAACAAAAATCTGTATCTCACCAACATCTCACATGATCCCAAAGCACTGGAAATGACTGGCTTAGAACTCATGGCTCCCTTCACCTCTCCTTCCTAACCTCATTGCCCACAGTGGTTTGTAGCTGTACTGTGCTGAGCAGTCCCAAGGACAAAGTGACCCTGTAAGAAAAGGGTTGACACACAGCACCTCTAACTTTTCCAAAGTCTGAATCTTTAAAATGCTTCAGGCCAGGCATTTTAGTGCAGCCTGTCATTCCAGCACCAGAGCCAGGACAGGAGGATTGCAAGTATAAGGCCAATCTGGGCTATGGAGACACTGTCTGAAACACCAGCTCCATTGAGAAACAGGTCCCAGTCCGCCCCGTGATGAGGATGTAGACAAACTAACACCACCTCTTTCCTCCACGTGCAACAGGGTGGTGAGGTCGAGGCTGTACCGGACCCCGCGGCAGCACAGGGGCAAGGAGCCAGGGGCCTTTGGCTTTCAGAGAAGAGACAAGCTGGAGGCCCCGGAGAGAGTGCCCTCAGCTTTGGAATCAACGCCCAATCCATATCGGTGGGAACCCAGAGAGTGAGCGAAGGGCAACACTGGGCAGGGAGGCAGGACGGAGAGGACACTGACCCACAGTGCCCCGTGGGGGCTTTATTTTGACACCACTTTGTTTCAATACAAACAGTGCTGAAAGAAAGTCATGCCCCCCTTTGGGGAGGCTAAGGGAAGAGTGGTCTGTGTTGTTTGGGAGCCCAACCTGCAGTCCACAGGTGAAGCTGGGCCCAGACTGCCGGCACGGCAGGGGAGACGGCACCAGGATGACAGTGCATGGCCCAGCTGCCAGTCCTCCAGCTCTCACCGACTGGTGGGGTGCTGTTCAGGACCCCTAAACCCAGAATGATGCAGAGGACGAAAGCTGAGCTCTAGGGTCTTCTCCAGAGCCTCAGCTTCCTCAGCCAGTAGCAGGTTCCTAGCATCCAGGTAGGACACACAGGTGGGACCCGCCATGGGTGCCAAGCAGGACACAAAAGAATAGACTCTCAAGCATAGACAAGGGGTGCTATGACCCACAATAATGGTAGATAAAGGTTTTCAGACACCTAGGCAGAAGTCAGCCTAGGGACAGCGGTGACAAAGGAAGATTGCTCAAGCCTCCAGGCTGATCCTAAATAAACACTTTAGGAGCCAAGCAAAAGTTCTAGCCCTTAGTGAGTTACCAGGGTCCTTCTCCTTACTCATGCCTCCACTGACATAACAGCAGTGGCAAGTCCAGAACTTCTCCCTGAGGGCTGATACAGCACAACTCTTGCTAGACCTCCCCTGTCTCTAGAAGACAAGGCCCAGACTCCCCAGACCACCAACAAGGATCCTAGAGCCCGCAGAAGCCTTATGCCTTCCCTACTTGGGGAAGAACTAGACCCATAAAGTCATCCTGATAGAACTCCTTCCCTCACTACCAGTGCAGCAGGCTAAGTAGCAGCAGCTTTGGAGCAGGACTGGAAGGAAGAACACTAGCGTGGAGAGGAGAATGAGGGGCGAGGACAAGGACTCACTGCACAGGCAAAGGACAAGGGCTGATGCTGACCACTCCCCTTGCCCAAGATCCTCCAAAGCCACCCAACTCATACACCACACACGGAAAGTCAACAAATGCCCAGATTCACAAAGCGAGCAACCCTGGCCTGGGAATCAGGGTTCTTGCTGTCACCACCACAGGCTTGAGCCATGGAGCCTGGATCAGTAGGAACCGTAGCGATCCTGAGTGGGAGAATAAAAACACAAAGTCAGAGTCTCCCCAGTAACCACAGCAGAACAGGGTGAAAGCCACCTGGGCACTAATGCAAAGGGAAACCTGCCAGTTCTCACAGAACCTTGGCCAAATCACCTTAGGGAGAGGCTCAGTCCACACACAGATGGAAAATCGCCCTGCCAAGAAAAGCCAGTGCTCTCTCCAGCTGGCGGGGCTGCTCAGCAGGGTCTGGAGAGCAGAAGGCAAACCTCCGAGCATGACATTTACATCTCTTCCCGGCCCAGCAGCCCAGCCTCACCTGTAAGGAATTCATCACACCATTGGCCAGCACAGCCATCTTGCCAGCCACAGACTTGACACCCTGCTTAAACTGGGCAATGTCAGCTGTAGGAAGTACGTTCCCCAGAGATACAGTTCCTGTAAAAGCAAGGGAAGGTGTGATCAAGAGCCCTGCAAGAACCCCTTCCCAGCTACAGGGCCTCAGCTATGCCCTGCCACACACTGGGACCCTACCTCCTCCATGAGCTCCATCCATGTCCCCAAAAAGGTCTGAAGAGCTGATGGCACTGCTGCCCGAGAGCTGCTGTAACCGAGACCTGGCTTCATACTGTGGTGGAGAAAAGGCAAGGTCTAGGGAATCTTTTGGTCAGGGATAAAAGAACTGATTTATGTCCAACCACCCTAATGCAGGACAGACAGGGAAGGAGCTCAGGCTGCTGAGTAGCTACCAAGTAGACAACTTCACCAACCTCAGAATCCACTTCTCGACCAAAGAACATGTCAGATGAGATGGCTTTGGCTCCTGCAAACTTCTGACGCGCTTCACTGGACTCAAGCCCTGAGCTCCGGCTCTCCACTTCCCTCCAGCTGGTGGATCTGTGGGCCAGTGCAGAATATCTCGGTCTCTTCCCATTACCACCAGGGGAAGCAGAATTCAGAGACCAAAATACATACCATAGCTTTCTGGCCATGGAAACCATGTCAATCCTGTAACTCTGGGATGCAAGAACCTTTCCCCTCCAAAAGAATAGCAAGAGGTCCTCTCCCCTTTCTCAATTCCCTCCATCAGATGGAATGGGAATACGGTTTGGAGGGCTTAGGCTCCGCACTACTGTGGCTAAGGTGCAAAGATCCAATCATCACTGCTGCCATCTGAGCCCTACTCACACTCTGAAGTGACTGTGTGTGCCTGGCTTACACCCACTCTCCTGCATGACTATCCAGTGGCTGTGAGCACTCTCTCTGAATCACATCACTACACTGACAACGCACAGGCTCTAGGCTGGGGCTTCTAGAGTCCAATGAAGTTATTACTCATGGCCAAGTTTACAAATGGATCATCTATGGTAACCTGCCAACAAAACATTGCTTCTCAATAATGGAATGGATTTTGGTTTTGGTTTTAAATGCCTAGAGATGGCCCAGTGGTTGTGAGCACTGTCTACTCTTTGAGAGGACCCAGGTTCAATTCCCAACACCCACATGGCCACTCACATCTGTCTGTAAATCCAATTCCAGGACTCTGACATCCTCACACAGACATACATGGAGGCAAAACACCAATGAACATAAAATAAAAATAAATTCCTTTAAAAAAAAAAAAAAAAACAAGGGGCTGGGCAATAGTGGCACACACCTTTAATCCCAGCACCCAGGAGGCAGAGGCAGGGGGATCTCTGTGAGTTTGAGGCCAGACTGGTCTAAAAGAGCTAGTTCCAGGACAAGCTACAGAGAAACCATGTCTTGAAAAACAAACAAAAAAAGAGCCTAGCAGTTGGAAAATACGGGTTTGATCTCTAATACTGTAGTCAATCAAACCATGAAGGCTAGAGGCTAGCCTTTGGAAGGGACATCAGAAATGAAACAGAAAATTAGCCCCTCTGACTATAAAATAGAACCCAACCTAAAATAACTACCAGCACAGCCCTGACTAATGAATGGTCACTAGCTATATGTGGTTATTTACATTTGCTAAACTTGTATTAAAAAACAGTAGAAATTCAGTTTCTCAGCTGCACTCAACTACTCAACATTCCCACCCCTGCACCACATTATGCGAACAGCACTGCCCTGCCCACACTACCTTTCTGAAATGGGCCGGATGCTGGAGATGGTTACTTCGGGTTCCTTCTCTTCTACCCTGTCCATACCCCAGGTCGCATCTGAATCCCAGCGGGTACCAAAAGTTTCTCCCAGGGAAAAGGGGTTATCCTTGTACCTAGGGAGACAGCAGAGTAGCTCAGAGAAACCTGAGTAGGAACACAACAGGCAAGTCTATGCTCCAGCAATAGTCTTACTTTGGGGGTCCGGAGGCGAAAGTTCCAACATCATCAAACAAGTCAAGCTGTGACCGGGAAGATTTTGCACTCAGTGGGGTTTCCTGCTCAATCACTTGCATCTCAGACAGCACAGAGTGGGAGATGGAGCTATGGAGAAAGCACAGCAGGCCAAAGGCTAGTAATGACATCAACTGTTCACTGCCCAAGAGTAACAGCCAGCTTAGGTTGATGGGGTTTTTCCCCGAGCACTGTCCTTGCCTGTGCACTGCACTGGACCAGCTCAGGAAGAGAACTGATGTGAACTGTCTGAAGTGGCCTGGGAGCATGCTAACACACCAGCTTTGTTCTCTCAAATAGCTTTTCCCTGGCCAATGGCTACTAGTTGCCATCTTAATAATGTACACCAAATGGTGAGTGCTCATTCTCCCTTCTTCCCTTTTAGGATTTTGTTTGTTTTTTTTCTAAGGAAACTGGCTATGTGACCCAGCTCCTCCTCCCTCTGCCTTTCCAGTATTGAAATCAAGAGGCACGAGCCACCATGCCTAGCTCCACTGCCATCCTTACTCGAAGCCTAATCGCAAAACGGACTATATCCTTCCTGAGACACATGTGCAGAGCACAAAGCAAAGGAGGAAAACCACCCAGATGATTCTCATGGAATCACAGCGAGTCCTTAATCATCCTATTTCTTAAGAAAGAAAAGGAATGAAGAGGAAGAAAAAGGAAAAAAGGAAGAAGTGCATTTCTTAGTACAGGGTCTGGCCAATGCACCAAGACCTGGATCTGCCAGGGCCCCCTACGCCTCACTCCTGTCAGGATCTACTTCAGTCAAACAAACTCACTAGAATATATAGCTTCCAAAGTGAAGTACTCCAAAGAGTCGATAAACTGCAACTGGATTTTAAATAAGGTAGATTAGGGTTAAGTAAGATTCTGCTTTACCTGTAATTAAAAAAAGAAAAAAAGAAAAAAGGAAGAAAGGAAAAAAGGAAGAAAGAAGGAAGGAAGGAAGGAAGGAAGGAAGGAAGGAAGGAAGGAAGGAAGGAAGGAAGGAGAAGAAAAAAAATTACAAGGGCTAGAGAGGAGAGGAGACTCAAAGGTTAAGAGAACGGGCTTCTTTCCCAGGAGACTCATGTTTATTCCCAGCTCCCACCTGTCTCTAACTCTAGTCCCAGGTGATCCAAGGCTCTCTGTGTTCATGCGCTTCACATACATGCATGCAAAACACCCCTAAACATCAGAAAATGAATTAAAAAAGAAAATACATCCAGGTGATCTCGACACTCAAGTAAGGCAGGTAAAAACAGGAGTTCAAGGTTATCTCTGGCTGTATAGGTCATGCCAGCATGAACTATATAAGATTGCATAAAGAAAACAAAAACAAAACCAGCCTGTTTTAGCCAGCCAGGACTACATAGTAAGACCCTGTCTCAAACTAACAGACAACAACAAAGCAAAAACAAAAAAACAGGGCTCACTCCCTAGGATATAGTAGGAAAACTGACTTCAACAAGTTGTTCTGACCTCCACGTGTGCCATAGTACATGTACGTCCCATACAAACATACAAATAAAAAAAATTAATAAAAAAGATATTTGTCAATGCTGGTAAGATTGCTCAGGTGGTAAAAAGCATTTGCTGCCAAGTCTAATAAATTTCTAATGATAATAAGCCCAAAGCCTCCTAACAAAAGGAGCCAAGGCACCGGCTAATCGCAAGCACAATCCAGTCAATGGCACCAGTAAATACTCCTTTTTATTATTATTCATTTCTTCTTTTTCTCTTCCCCCCTTTTTATTTTATTTATTTATTCATTCATTCATTCTTATGTGCCCTAGGCATGAAACAGCTTTGGCCACAAAGACAGGCATCAAGCTAGGATGAACAAAGGACTCCATCTGCTCTGTCCCTGGCTGATATAAGACACCACCACCACCAAGGTGTCTCTTTGCCCATTGCCAGGGACTCTTCTTTCTCTTTTGAAATAGTGTCTCCCAGAGCCCAATCTGACTTTGAACCCCTATGTGGCCAAGGGTCATCCTGAACTCTTGATCCTACCTACTGCTTACACCTCCCAAGTTCTAGGACTGTTGTGTCACTATGCCTGACAGATAAATTTTTATAGCCCAGGCTAGCCTTAAATTTGCTCTATAGCCAAGAATGACCTTGAACCTCTGATCTTCCTGCCTGAAGTGCAGAATTACAGACTTATACCAACACACCAGTTTTATGTAGTACTGGGGATTGAACCTAGCCTTCATGCAAGACAAGCACATTACCAAATGAACTTCATCCCCAGCCCTCAGATATTCTAATTTTTAAAAGATAAAAATCTAGCAGGGTGGTCATGGCATATGCCTTTAATCCCAACACTCGGGAGACAGAGGTAGGTGGATCTCTTGAGTTCGAAGTCAGCTTGGTCTACAGGGCAAGTTCCAGGACAGCCAGGGCTACAGAGAAACCCTGACTCAAAAAATCTATTGCTATCTTTAATTTCAGCAACTGGGAGATAGATAAGAGGAAAAAAGATTTCTGTGAGTTTGAGTCCAGCAAGGATTACACAGGAAGACCATCTTAAAACAATAAAAAATAAAACACTATTACAGAAACCTCTGATTATTAACTCAAAATGGTTCAGAGAACTGATCTGCTTTTTTTAAAGCAAGTGCAGGAACACAAACCTAGCAGTTCTGAAACAAAGGGTGGTAGCTCACACTTTTAATCCTAGCACTTGGCAGTCAGAGGCAGGCAGATCATCTCTGAGTTTGAAGACAGTCTAGTCTACACAGTGAGTTCTAGGACAGCCAGGGCTACACAGAGAAACTGTTTCAAAAAAAACAAAAAACAAAAGGACTCCCCAACCAAAAGCATCTGAAATACGTGGAGTCATTTGAGGTATTATAGTATCTGGTACAACAGACGGCATTTAGTGGGCAAGGACTAGGAAGCAAAAAAGCCCTGAGTTTCTCAGGTCTTGGAAAAAAAGAACTGTCCAGCCATGAAGCAGCCTCATCAACAAGTGCCATCCTGTTCACTCAAGCAACTAACATAATATGGGCCAACCACTGTGCCGAGTGCCTGAAGACAACAAAATACTCTCTTCAACCTCAGTGGAAGACTAAGGAAGGAATCCTGACATGCTGGGTAGGGTCTGTCCAGATTCCCAGAAAAACAATGGCATTTCTCTGACACACTCACCTTCGAGACACCAAGCCCATGCCCAGCCTTTCAGCCTGCTCTCGCTTCTTTCCTTCAAGGTTCTGTAGCTTTTTCTCCTCCTTCTTGCGGTCAATCTGGAGCTCCTGGTAGGCCAGACGCATGGAGGCAACCCTGGAGGGAATGAACAGTTGCAGGCTGCCATCAGTGCCACCTGCCACCAACCCCCACACAAGCCAAGGGCACCACAGCAATCACGCACATGGACTCCTCTGCCTCTTTCTTGGCATCAGCTGCCTGCTGCTCCCGGAGCTTCTCTGCCACCTGGGCCTGCCGCTCAATCTCAGTAAAGCTCTGGTTGCTCACTTTCTGAGCTCCCAGGCCTTTCTTGGCACCCAGCTGAAGAGAAAACCATGTGATGTAGGGTCTTGCCTGCCAGTCCCCTCAGTTCCCTCCCAGTATGGTCACTGTAGTCACACCCACAGGGAAGGGGGTCCTCCTTAGGGCCAATGAACATGGCTAAGACAACAGCGATTCTGCTAGAGCTTCATGCAACTCCCACACAGGTCTCAGGGGTGAGGACAGCAGTTAATGCTGACTGGGGCCTGCTATGTGCCAAGCACTCTAAGTACTAAACGTGCTTGATCTTGCTTATTGCCCAGGAATCCCCTTAAGATGAGCATTTTTATATCCCTTTCATAAACAAGATTCAGACAAGTTAGGACCTTGGTCAGTCATATAGTTAGCCAGGACATGAGAAGAACTGAAGGAGTCCAACCACCCTACAAGACTGCCTCTCCCTACCTACCCCTTTCTTAGCTGCTGTTGGCTTCTTCTTGCCAATAATGGAGCTTTTCAGTTCTGTGTGAGGAAGAGGATGGACATGAGATAGGACAAAGGAAAGTCAGAGAACATGGCTCAGTTCACACCATGCAGCTTCACAGCAAGAATATCTAAAAAGAATTGCTTCAGCTGGGAAGACAAACTGCCACCACCAGTTCCAACCAAGACTGTTCAAGCCAAAGACAGACAAGGTTAGGGGAGCTCGCTGATGCCCAGAAAGTAGCAGTAGGAGCCTAGACCTGAAGCACCAAAGACAAAGTGCCCAAGCCAAGGCTGCTCAACAGCCTCAATTCCTGGAGCAGAGAGCGGGCAAGCAAGGGACAGGCTTCCCAAACCACTGGTTACCTCTGGCAGAAGAGGCCCCTTTAGCTGACAGATACATGGACTCTGGAGAAGAAACAGACTTGTGGCTAACGAGGGCCCACCCCAAAAGCTTCCTAAAGCTCCCGAACCTAGAGGCTTACACAGAGCCTATTTCAAAGCTATGCTAAGCCTTCCCACAGAATTAGCTGGACAGTCACTCCACTGGCTTCCTGCCCCAACCCCCAAGAGTCAACAGAACAAACCAAGGTCAGCAAAGGGATTGTTTACCCTAACCAAGTCTGAAGGCCACTAAAAAGTAGAAAGGGCTGAACTTTGAAAGGACAGTATGGCCCTAGCCATGAGCAGCTCAAAGCTGCCCCCACACCTCATGAAATGGGCAGAACAAGCCAACCCCGCCTAACACCAGGGATTGGTGTCCAGACCCATTCCAACCTCCCCATACCTTGGTTAGATCTACCCCCACACTCAAAATGACAGCCATCCAGGCTTGTCAGCTCAAAGGCCCTCAAGTCAGTGTGGCAGTCAGAACTTCAATTCCAGGTCCCACCCCAGAGGGTCAGTTGCTCAGTCTCCTGTGCCCAGCTCACATGACTAGGCAGCAGATTTAGAAGACACACTTGAAGCACTCTCTCCCTGCCCCCCACACCTGCCAGCTATCATACCCAGAGAGGTTTGGGGTGAGGTTCCAAGGAGGTCGGTGTTAGGACCATGCTCAGGTTCTGTGAATTCAATGACAGGAGATGGTAAGGGTCACTGACTTCCTTCCGCTTGCCACCAGAAGATATATGCCCACCCTTCCTCCAAGAACTAAAGTGAATTCCATTCCACCCAAGGACACAGGAAAACCTTCTCCCCACTCCTATGTCTTTGGCCAAGTGTTCTAAACGCTAGTCCTTTTCCAGGTCCAGGCACTTGGTTACCATCTGGGCTAAACTCACGTGCCAGGCTACTGCTCTCTGAAGGTAGTGCTGGTTGCTGGGTCCCTGAAGGCTCAGTGGCTGCTGTATCCCAGGCAGAGGCCTAAAAAGAAAGCCAGATCCCAGAAGCCTCAGTGAGTCCTCCTAAGAAGCTACACCTACCTGTAGGTGGGTAGGAGGCACTTAGCTCTTATGTCCCAGGTATGAGAGAAGACTAGAAATTAGCAATTATAGTCACCAGTCACCATGGAAGAAAAATGCAGAAAAATAGCATCTTTAACCCCCAGCCGAGCCTTTCCTTAATTGATAAAGCACTAACAACTCTTACCTACTGACTAGGCACCAATCCAAGGGTGCTCACAGATACAATAGGTTCAGTTAGTCACAACTATGAAGTAGCTATGTCTCCTTTAGAAACTGAGGTTTTGCCAGGTTAAGTGACTTGGCCACATCAAACAACACCAAGCAGAGATGCTGAGGTGTGACCTGAGACTCTTGATTTTAATGACCACTGCCAGGAAAAGTGAAAACCTTTCTTAAGGTGGGTTACAGGAGAGGGAATCCTTATTTGTCTCTAACTACTGCTCGTTTTTTAAAAACCTAGACATTGCTTAGGGTCCCTGAGATCTCTTGAGCTTTTGCATTATTCTCTACCACCAGGGCCCATTTGCACTCCCATAAATAGGAAGAAACTTCTGGGCCTACCCAACAGGCAGTAATTATTCATTCTGAACCACAGACATTCTCTGAGGTATTGTACCTAAGCAAAGAATGTATGTCATGATCACAAAAGGTGTAGCCTTGGCAAGTAAAGCATTTATCAAAGGAAATGACCCTGTGGTACTCACCTGAGTGTGTTCTGTGAAGAAATCAGAGTCTTTCTTCTCTGGAGAGTGACTAGGAGCACTGTTCATACTGTCTATCCAAAGCTGCAAGGATGGAGACACTGGGATTCAGGGCTGGTAACACCTCCTACCCCATCACCCCTAAGCCAGGAACAAGCTCTTACATCAGTGCCATGCCTCGCCAGAGCTGCACTCCCCAACTGCTGAATTTTCTCTCGGTACATCTGGGCAGCTCGGCTGTTATATTTGGTGTTAGCATCATTGGCCATGCATCCATGTTGGCGGAAAAAAGCAGTCTAGAGAGCAAAAAGAATGTAGCACGTATGTGCAAGTACTCTCAACAAAGCGAACTGTATTCACACTACAGGAGATACTACTCAACAGCTGGGTTATTCTTTCTACAGGACACACACTAACAACAGGTTTTCATGGAGGTAAAATTCCTTAAAAAAAAAACTTTAATTTTCATTATTATGTGTGTACTACAGTCTCTGTGTGGAGGTCAAAAACAACTCTGTGTTGAACTCAGGTTGCCAGGCTCACACAGAAAATATCTTCACTCATTAATCCATCTTTGGAGGTGCTTCCCTCCTCCAAAAAACAAAACAAAACAACAAAAAAACACCATGCCACCTCCCACCCTCTGAGACAAAGCCCTGAAGTTGAGGGTACCGAGGAAAGTATGCAATTCCCACACTAGCTCTCCTCCCTCCGGAAGCCCCCAAAGCCTCAGCTGACTGGAGACACTATTTGTCCAGGTCAGTTTCTCTTTATGCCTCTCTGAAAGAAGCTGTGCATAGCGGTGTTACAGAGCTGAGAATGCTCTGAACAGAGAAAACACACTCACTCCTGAGAAGTCTTTGAAAAGGTAAGTACCCAGGCAAAAGGACGGGGGTGGGGGTAAGATAAAGAAGCTTTACCGCATTGGCATTCCCGCCGACCTGCATACACCTCAGCTGCAACCAGCTCCAGGTCAAATCCAACTCTGTCGACCTGTGCACAAGGGCTGTTTGTTACCTACCCAGTGATACCAAAACATGCTTCCCTGTCAAGCCTACACCGGTCATTTGGCCTCAGGCTTTTGTGGGTGTCCAGGAAGCCATCAGTCACTGTTCCATTTCCTCCTCGCTTCCCTGTGTTTGAAATCTTTGCTCTTTACCTAATACAAAGGGTACCAATTATTTCTGAGAAGGAGATCCGAAAGGATGTCGACGTCTAAGAGTGCTCAGAATCGTACTGGAGACCTGTTGAGCCAATCTGTCTGCAGTAACAAAGTCAATGCAGCTGACTTCTCCCCTAAATTTATGCTGAGTCTCAGGTTAACCGTGAGGAGAAGGGGTGTTTGATCCAGACTTTATGGATACAAGCAATCAGAGGCGGATTCTCCCCCACCCCCGCGCAGTAGGCCAACAGAACTCCCGCCAGGAAGTATCCAAACACAAAACTCAGAAAGGTTCAAGGGAAGGCGTCCTTTCAGCCCCTGTGGTAGCACAGAGCCTACCTGATAAAACTGAGATGGACACCCAGGGAGCGATGCACTCCGGAGCAGTCAATACACAAAAATACACCATACGTGATGCTGGCCCAACTCGGGCTCTTGGCGCCACAGTCGAAACAAGCCTATGTGGAAGAGGAGCCAAGTAAATGGTTAGGGCCTAGAGTGAGGCCCAGCGCTCGAAACCACAAGAAAGCCTCCCACCTCCGTCCCCGCCCTCCCTCGGGCCCCAGAGGACAAGAGACGTCTTCTCCGCCGGCGACAGGACCCGTGCCCCTCCCCCTCAAGCACCTTGTTGGTGGGAATTGCACGAAGCCTCTTAAAAACAGCCTGGATTTCGGTCTTGCTCGGCTCCGCCGCCATTTTCTCTCCTTCCCAGATACAACCGCGAGCGACAGCTCCCGCCACCGGCCAATCCGCGGCGGAGAAGGCGGGCCCACCGCGCCGCCCCCGCAGGGCGCTGACCCGCCTACGAGTGAAGTGATTCGACCAGATCTGGACCAATGAGCGTCGAGCAGACTAAAGCGTGACGTCAGCAGCCGGGAGCTCCACAATGGGCCTGAGAGTGAACGCCGAGGCGCGCCCGGCCAATCCGCAGCCGGAGCGGGCGACGGCTTGTGTGCTGGCCCAAACTTTCTTCTAAGTCGCTGCTGGACGCAGGGAATACCGCAGGGCCCCTGGCTACGGATGACGGACGGCCATGGCCACAACATCTGATGAGTTGCCGATAGATGAGTAATGATTAACAGTCGCCCGAGTACTCCTAATCCCATCGGGAAGACACTGGCGGGGCTCCAACCCTGCTCACAATCCAGCAACCGGACTGGAGCAGAGGCCCACACACTAAAAAAACCTGATCTCAAGTCCCTTCCAGTCCAGGTTACATTTCTGAAATTTCAGGGCAGATACCAGGAGGCAGTTGCCTGCCCAGTCCCAGCTCCATAACACAAACTGGGCCCACGAACCTCCCCCATGACTCCCACCAGCTTCAAGAATGGGGTATCAAAAGACGCTCACAACACTAGATGGTACTTTTATTCTTGATCAAATTTAATACACACTACAAGTCACAAAATAGGACGCTGCTAGCCCCAAACTACATTCTCCCCAACCTCATCCTCAGGAACTCCCAGTTTAAGAACTGGATCCCCTACTTCTGGGATGCTCCCGGGGAGGCTCAGGCACTCCAACCTCCCTTCCTGCCTCCATTCTAAACTCTTTTGGCCTCTTTCTAGACGCAGACCCTCCCCTTCATGGGCCCTCAGGCATCCTTCCTCTCCGGAAACAGCAGCAGCACATGGTTCAGGTCCTCAGGTCCAGCGATCCTGGAAGGGTTGAGCTTTGGCTCTGGTTGGAGTGAAGCTGCAATAGGACTGTCAGGGCACTCAGGCACCCACACATTCCACATAATTGGCGGGGTACAGACCAATGCGGCCACTCTGCAGCTGGCCCTGGCACCAGCCCTGTTCATCCTCCTCACTCATCTTCAGCAGCTCTTCCCCTGAAGAAAGACAGATCGGTCACTGCCGGAGGTCAAGGGCTGAGGGGATGGAATGTCCAGCTCAGACCAGGATAGGACACAGCCAGCAAGCTAAGCTACCCAACCCTAGACCCCAGGGAAGACATAGTCAGGCCCCAGCTGGCTGGACCCTGAACAGGCTGTGAGAAGGGGGGGTCTCTGGCTTTCCTTTCCTACACCCCCTGCTCTATCTGGTAGGACAGGCTGAAATGGAAAGAAACATGAAAGCTCCCCCCCCACCCCCCCACCCCCACCCACCCCCACCCAC